AAAGTTCATTACAAGGCTTGACATTTGCCAAAAATTCCAGCAATCAAGAAGGCGCTAAATTTTCCTTGTTATATACCTTTCCGGCTTTTCGCATGACCACGTGACTTGACGATGACTTCCCCCTGTGTATCATTATGGAGCGGCTCGGTACGGTTATGTAAAGAACAACATTGGTCCAGGTAACACTTGTGTATACATTATATGTACCGGCCGTACATATTCTGTAGTACCTTGATACGTACAACGAACGCTATCTGCCTAATGATAGTAATTCTAAGAATTAAAACAAAAATTAGCCAAAAATAATAAAATAAATAAAGAGACCACAAATTAGCCAATCAGAGCCGTCCTCCTAGCGGCGTCAATATCTCTCCCACTGGTTGCTAAAATTTTACATATATTATTCATTATTAATAATAAACAGATGGCTTAATGCTACAAAATAGAATGGCTGGCTAGCTGCTTAGCCAAGTATACGAGAAAGACAGCAGCTAGACCAGGATAAAAAACTGGCTTAGACAGTCTAGTAGTACTATAGTAGGCCCTATACTATAGTTTTGCTTGTAATTGTGAAGTAAACTGTAGCTATATTATGTAGCTTATGTGATGTTACACATAATGGACTGAGACTAAGACTAAGAGGTATCACTACAAATTGTTTTCCTGTATTCTCTCTCTTCTCTCTATATATTATTATATATGGACGTGGCCTACGTGACCGGTTCGGACGAGGCAGCCCGCTAGGCCTACACTACCGAACATCCATCTCACACAGTGAATCTTTGACACGTACACGCATGATGCGCAATGGTACGCTGCATGCTGATTGCCGAGTGTGTGTGTGTGTGTGCGTGAGAGAGATGAGAGAGACGAGGGAATGTGTACTTGTGTTTGTGTGCGTGAGCAGAGAGAGAGAGAGAAGAGACTAGAGTGTGCACGTGAGTGTGTGTGTGTGTGCGTGCGTGCGTGTGTGTACGTCTGTGTGTGTGTGTGTGAGAGAGAGATAGAGCTGTTGCGATGTTGTGTGAGAAGAGAGAATCAGAATGCTGGCGTGTGTTGAAAGAAGAGAGTGAGAGAGACGAGGCGATGAAAGGAGGGACGGCAGCGAGTGCATATATTGTATATCTTCGGACATATCAGCAGAGCGTCCCGTTGCCGCAATCATGATGTACTCGAGTTGCGCAGATCACTGTGTATGGATGTCGGAATGCGTAGCCTGGAGGCTAGTGCGACCGCGTTTCGGCGCTTGTAGCCACTGCGGGGGGGGGGCGATAATATATATTAACTAGCAGGATGGCCTGGAAATAAAGCAGCTCAGTTTGGGAACCATTTTGCGTTGAACAGGAAAAATACATAAAAATATATCTATCTATCTATCCATTATCCATACTTCCATCTACTATCTATTATCCATCATCTATCTATCTCTTAAATTATAGATTAACTATCCAACTGATCATCTATTATCAGTTCTATTGATGATCGATCTATCTATTCTGTCTGTCTATCTACTCTAATCTATTTATGTATCTTGTATCTACTCCTATAGTATCCTATCTATCTATATATATCTATCTATCTATCTATCTATCTATCTATCTAGATCTATCTATCTTCTATCTTATCTATCTTGTCTAACCTATGCTATCTTATGTATCTATCTATCCATATCTAACCTATTTATCTATTCTGATATCTTTAGTAAAGATTAAACAGGCGAAAACATTTCCAGCCAAAATTTGCATAATGCAAATGTGCCTAATAGCAAAATAAATTTTGCATAGGCAATTGGATAAAATTTGTATTAGCATATTTTATTCAGACAATCACAGTGCAAATTTACACCGCAGTTGCAATTGCTTGGCGTGTTATCAGCTGTCGGCCTGTGACAGGTCACACTAGCTTATTGGACACACTAGCCGATTTCCTGTACGCTGACCCGGCAGCGTCATTAAACAGCGTGCGAGCTTGAGCACTCGTCGACCGTCCGCCAATGTCGAGTGAAAATAATATATCGGGTCGAGTCAAAGCCTAAATACTGAACTCGCCCGTAGTTTGCGATAAAAATAATTGTCTAAATATGTCTTAATCAAATGTTGGTTCCTCTTACGTCTATATTATATCCTAAACATTGATGAAATACAGTTTCTAGCGATTGTGAAGGCGCGGCTATCCGACTCCTCGTCCACGACATCTTACTTCTATTATATTATCAAAGCGTCAGCCGAAGTAAGCAGCGCCGCTGAGAGCGTGCCAGCGCCGCAGCCAGCTGGTGGCTGTGTATAACGTGCCTTGGGAACGGCATATTGCATTGATGTACGGGGAGGCGGGGGGGAGTCCAGATTGTTTTAAAAGTTGCACGTTGGCCTTGGTGTTAACAATTCAATTAAAATCGTGGCCGTAACGTGGCATTTCATTGACGGGGCAAAGCAAGCCCTCGAGAATAAAAGTAAATGTAACTATGTTAATGTTGTCCGTTTACATCTCGCATGGCGTGCCACGCACAACTGCGATTCTATAAAAAAATATTGCCGTAGGCAAATGGGCTTGAAAATTTCACATCAGCGAATTTGCGATGCGAATACCCAGGCGAAAATTATTCCCTTGATTATAAGCAAGTCAGTGCAAGCTGAATCCTGTATAAACTCGCTTTTTGACTTCGAATCCTGTTGCCTGCAGGGCTGCCCATTTATCTAATGGTGCTGCTGGGCTCCCGTTTTATTTTCTCTGTTTTGCCTGTGTTTTTTGTGCTTAATGACCTCGGTAGGCTCAAACTTCCAATGCTGCGCCATGCACATGTCAGTATTAAAATTTAACTCTTAATGAAGCCTCATAGCGGTCTATGTCCCGCCAGGGTACTGCACCGGACACTTCCCTGGTCACTATTTGATGATGGTTAGGCAGTTAGGGTTAGGGATGGGTTCAGTTAGAGTGTTGGTGTTAGGGAGTCAGGCGAGCGACATCCCTAGACCATTAAGTGGGAGTAGGCGAAGTACGGTCGCGCATACTTAGATAGTACCCAGGGTACGTTCCGGTATACCTGACCGTACCCAGGGTACGTTCCGGCAGTACCCCGGGGGACATAGACCCTCTCAGCCCTACTGAACGTCCTTGACATTTCTAGAGTGCTCCATATTGATTTGCATTGAGAACAGACAGACAAACAAACAGACATACATTCACAAATATGTATTAGATAGTAACTCCTGATAGTAATGCAGTGTGAGAATTGATGCTAGTGTTAAAACTCACACTTGCATGTTTGCCATGCTGAGCATAGCAGCAAGCTATATGCCAGCTGACTTTCACACGTTTTGAATTGGCGGTTGGCGATTATTAACTATAAGAGATAGCAGCAGTTATTGGCAGCAGCTCCCAGGTCTACTCATGAACATATCTATAAATTTGTTCATGGTATCACATATTTATAGCCTATGTGTTACACGTACTATAGGTATATTATCCTGTGTTATTTGGACTCAGCATGGTGGTGGTTTCAAAAGTAGGTATAACAGTCGAAATGAACGTAATTTCATGCTGCATACCTTCCTATATCACATGACATCACAGGGATATAGCTTTTTTAGATACACATGTACACACTTAATTACCAACATATATACAATCACGCACACGTGCACGTGTGCATGCATATGTGTGCATGTCTGGGTAATGATGCTTGATACTAATGACTTGTCGCTTACAGTTCTTCGTATTACTACTAATAATAATTAATGCCAAACAATTAAAAATCTTATTTAAAATGCATGTAGCATATATAATACCAATGAATATAATCTGAAATACAAAAGTGAATACTTGTTTCTTTTCTAATCAGGTGATTGAACATGACACAACAAACCAGCCAGAGGGGTAGAAGATCAGTATGTTCACTTCTATTATTTTTGCAAGCAACAAAGGTCATTGGACTGACAGTTTTCTACTATGGATTCTCAATTGGTCTCACCTTCTATCAGAAATGGTTTATAAGTGTAAGACATGCCTTATAGTTTATATCAGAGGTGTATGTAATATTAAGGATGTTTAATATGTATATTTGAGGTGTTTATCAAAATTGTGTTGTTAAGGGTTATCAGTATTATTTTCGGTATCATTAAGGGTTATCAGTGAAATTTTTCCAGCTGTACATATATATATATAGAGTCTAGAGAGTATATATACACTGCACAGCCGCTGAGTAACATTGGTGAGTAACACTCCACAGTATATAGCGTAGTGCCGCCATCTATTGGAGGAAAAAAGTGGTATCGAAGTGGAACCGAAAATACGGGTAAAAATATCGAGGATCGGATCGAGGGAAGAGAATAGCGATCCGATTCGATTTCAGTGGATCGATCGTTACAGCCCTAATATAAATATAAAATTAATATTTGATGATATGGTTCTAATGTGTGCATATTACCATATTTACTTTTTTTTAGGATTTCCACTATCCTCTCTCAATTGTGATATGTCATTTCGTAGTGAAGTTTATCATTGCGTGGCTGCTGCGAACTATATGGCAATGTTGGACAAGTAAGGAAAGAATCAACTTGCCATGGGATGATTATTTCAGGAGGCTCGCGCCCACCGGTACTTATTGCTATTTGGTGGGATTTTAACCCATCTGGCGTAGTCATGCCGCCTACAGAATAGTACTTGCAGCCGTTTGTACTCTGTCTATCCATTCCTACAAGGTCTGCCAATTTAATGTGCACTCAATGTGGTGACATTTTTATAAAGCTTTTTGTACTCCTATTCTAACTATCACTGAGAGGGTCTATGTCCCCCGGGGTACTGCCGGAACGTACCCTGGTACTATCTAATATGCCGGACGGTACCTCGCCTACTCCACTAACGAGTCTAGGGAGTCGCCTACGCCTACTTCCTAACCCTAACCCTAATCCTAATCCTAACCCTAACCATATCAAATAGTGACCAGGGTACGTTCCGGTATACCGGACCATACCCAGGGTACGTTCCGGCAGTACCCTGGGGGACATAGACCCTATGAGCCTAACTATCCTCTTATCCTAACTAATATTGAGATGCCAGATGAAAGATATTCATTACCTTGTTACACAGGTATTGGTAGCATTAGTAAAATTGTAGCTATAAATTTATTAGGTTATTATCATATTAGTATATCAATCAGAAGTAGATAATAGGGAAATTCCCTATTATCTACTTCTGATATCGATGTATGCATAAAAATATGATCGATTAATCAAAATATTTTCAGATGAACTTAATTGAGTTGTTTTCCATATTGCATCATAGGTATATGTGCATCGTTGGACATTGGTCTTTCAAACTGGAGTTTTGAGTTTATAACCATATCATTGTAAGTATATATGGTATCCATATGGTTATTACTGTAATCAATTTAGATGCACATGACAGATAATAAATATAATCGCGTAGGTTATATTGACCTTATATATATTTTTCTTTATCCGTCAGTGACCAACCTGATGTGTTCAACCACAAATGATGGGTAAAACACCACAAGTGATCACTGCAAAGTGGGGGTACATTTTAGATGTTGTTTCTATATATATATGTACTCAGATGTCTGCACTGGACATGATGTGAATAAACAACTGTGTGCTGATGATCATTTTTCCTTACCCTCCTGAATAACATTACATTTTATTGCAAAATTTTCTAGGTATACAATGACCAAATCATCTTGCCTGGTGTATATTTTAGGATTTTCTATACTATTCCGATTAGAAAAATTTGTAAGTATAGACCCATATATAACTTTCAATAATTAAATGTGGTTACAGCTGGGATGGTGTAAGCAAAAAGATAGTCTGATATGTAGTTCTATAAATATATTTGTAGTTTTTATAACTTATGGTTATTGAACATTTCAGTGAATGATTCTAATTCACAGAGGTGGTCTCTGCTAGGAGTAGTGCTAACAATTTCTGGAGGCTTGTTCCTGTTCACATATCGTGCGACACAGTTCAACCTTGAAGGATTCACTATGGTGATGCTTGCATCTATTCTGGCTGGCCTGCGCTGGACACTGGCACAGCTAGTTACACAGAGAAAGGAAATGGGTAATGTTAATATTCTTATGTTTTCAGTTTATTTTTTCTGTTTCGTGTAACAGGGTGTGGTTTGTGGATAAATATGACTGTTACCTGTCCATATTTAGAAATTCACTTGCAATCTGTGACCACGTGCAACACATAATCAACTGCCCATCCAAGAAACGACTCATCCGTCTTGTCTTACATGCATGCATGTGTTTGCATGCGTGTGCATGTGTGTGTGTGCTCAATGTGTGTCCGTGTGCATACGCGCGTGCATGTAATATCAGTTTTCACGTGGAATGCTTTACATTTAACAGGATTGAGCAATCCAATAGACATGATATATCATGTGCAGCCTTGGATGATTGTGGGACTGCTGCCATTAGCCATTGTCTACGAAGGTGAGCCTCGGTAATTTGTTATAATTTTGTTAAAGTTTAGACAATCACATGCTACCTGCCTACTACTGTGTGTGTGCACTATGCATGAATGATTATGATGTGTTGTAGGAGTGCCTGTCGCCACCACAGAAAAACTGTTCAGGGAACACAACATCTATGTGGCACTGAGTCAAGCAGCGTTTACGTTTCTGGGCGGAATGATTGCATTTTTCATGGAGATGAGTGAATACATGTTGCTGACTAGCACATCGAGCCTGACTCTGTCTATCGCTGGTATAGCAAAGGTATTCAATATGTAGAAATTGCGTGCATTGTTTGAAAATATTCACATGGTAGTAGAGACACCAGATCACGTGTTTTATGTCTCTTGATAATCTCTGTACAAATCCTCTGTCAATTACAAATTCATTTAATTTTGGTAACTAAACTCAATACACGTTTATGTTGCTAGTGGCTTGTTCTATTTTTGTTTTTAAGGAAATACTCACACTAGTGCTGGCAGCAAAATATAATGGCGACCAAATGAGTTCCATTAACCTAGTTGGCTTAATGATGTTGATAGCTGGGATTCTTCTTCATCTGATATTAAAGGCTATAAATATTAAAGGTAGTACTTATTTCAATTATCATTTTAGTTTTACTGTATACACAATATTGTATGAACAATTTGTATTCCAATCGTTATTCATATATATTTAGAAGCATTTGTGCATGCATAATAAATTTTTGCTTGTATAAGACCATCTGTGTAAAACATGTAGCAAAACTCGGGCTTGTTTCGATGTCAGTACATGCAACTGTAGTACACATGTACTAACACAACGTAAACTGTACTCGGTACACTGCAGGGGATTTTGTAGCACACCGCAGTTTCCCGGACTTATGGCGATTGTGTTTGCAGACGACGGTGATGTGGGTGACCGACATGAGAACAGTGAACTCATCGAGCTTCTGGGCAGCGAGGATGGGCAGCAGTGGGACGCAGACGAAGACGAAGAGGTCGTACTCTTCCAACAACACGAGCATCACAGCACTCTGGTATGACCGACACTTACAGTCGCCCGCACACTAATGCAAGGTGCTCCAGGGCCTCGTGCGAGATAATCGTGATGTCACGCATGTGGTTTCGGCGGCGGGACGCCTTCGTTTGGCCTACATTACAGATTTCCCCCAACTGCTCCCAAACTTTAATCTATATCTTGATAGGATTGAGGCGGTAATACCTCAAGGAAAGCATAGAATGCAGTATAAATGGCCACCTAATAAACTACAAACGTCTTGCCTTGAATGTTATTTGATGAAGAAAAGTGGAGGGCTTGAAGACTGGTGATGGGGTTTCTTGAAGTGTCTTCATGGCAAGTGGTAACACAAATATAAATACTGCCACTTATAGTAACCAATGGCAGGGATGTCATCTGATGACGTCGCAATGTAGAAACTGGCGACCAAATATCAAAAGAAACAGAATCTATAAATTTGTTCCCTAAACGGTGCAAGACTGCCACATCCCACACGCGTGGCAATAGTAGTGAAATCGTGAATGCTGGTCACATGCCTGTAATATTTGCGATGTAAATATTTGAGGAAATGCTACACTGAGTTTGGAAATTGAGTAAAGTGGTAATAGTATTAAATTTGAGGTTCTTTCAAAGACATTGCCTCAATGAACCATTACTAAAACCATATTCAGCTGTTGCCTAATATTTCTACAATTTGACATAAAAACTTGAATCTTCTTTGTAGTAATATAATGGTAAAGAGAAGCCATTAAGTAATCTTTTGACCCTCAAGAGGACCAAACTTTGAATTCGGTTACCATATGTCAAGAAGGAAGGAATTTAAAATACACTGCCTATATCATGTTATACTCTGTCTGTAACCATCGGATTCCCATCACAAGCTTGCAACATTCAGAGAAAGAGAGAGAGAGCCAGACATTGTGTTGCATAATCGTGCTAGCGCACTTGCTGTTTGGGTTCTCAATGAAATATTACAATGATTGTGATAAAGTAATTATTGTAGAAAAAGCTGGTGCTGGTTAATGTTTGTGTGTAAATAATCTAAATTTTGATTTGAATAGCAGGACATTCCAATATCTCATATGTCTAAATAATGCAATTTTAATGTGACACGGAGTAGTCTGTAATACATAGAGAGAGCAGACAGAGCTATGAAAGAACTGTATATTTTCTTGATGTGAATGCGTATTTATTGACATGTGTACTGTGATGTCCATATTTATAATGGATGAGTGGGAAATTGGAAAAGAAGGTCGAGGTCTTCCTTTTCTTGTTTGTAAACACCCAGGGTCAGGGGGCCGTTGTCAGAAACATCGTAAAGTTAATGCTAAGATAACACTTACAACTGATATTAATGTTATGAGAGGACCGTTGACAGAAACACATCGCAGCTATTAGAAAACTTACGATAACAGGAACTTCATCACAAGGCTGCTGATTAGATGAGAATCGATCAAAAAATTTAAATTCATACACATTTATTGTACATCACACTAATTTATGCATATTATGATGGCTAACCACATATAAATAATATTTGATGGAAAACGGCACAGTCATGAATTTATTCTGCACAAGACAAATTCTCACACTGTAACACGAGACGCGAGAGTCGTGGCAAGTGGCAAAGTAGTTAAAACAAGAGAACAAATGCCATATGCCATTTGTAAATGTTTTGTTTTGTTTTATGATCGGTAGATAATTAATGATTTTGACGTGTTTTTCAAGAAAACCACACATTTTATTCATTATTATAAAATATAATATCACTATAATTGTAATTCGTAGTGTAAATGTGTTATTTTCATCTTAATATTAAAGTTACGAGAGGGGCTGGGCTCTCGTAATGTTAAGAGGATATTTTCGAGGATTTTCATTCTCGTAACATTACGATGTTTCTGTCAACAGTTTACGAGTGGAAGTTAATGTTATGACTAATGTTAAGACTAATTTTGTTTCTGACAACGGGCCCCTGTTTGTTAAGTTTACTACTTTGTGATACATGACTAATGCTTTGTTGACACAATCAAATGACCAAATGTGACCTAATGTAATAAAGTATTACAATTTATTTTTACCTGATGCTTTATGTACAGGAAATTTCGCATTTACGTGATTTATAATGAATTGATGTCCGTGATAACAGTTTTTTCTTTCAGCACGCACCAATCAGCTATCTCCGTTTGTACCTGAAAAAGAAAGAGAATACCACACCAACTATAATAACAGAGGTGTACATTCCATCATGTCACGATGTCATCATTTCTTGATAGTCCAGTGTATGTAATATAAATTATATATACACTTAAACACTGATGGAAAGAAGCACACGTAGTAGTTGCATTGGAATACTAGTGAGTTGTCTGTAACTGCTAAATGTCCCTTCACATACCGGCTCTTTGACTTGAACGTTCCTTTAGGACCAGTCTTTTTCTTCAGCATTCCAGCTTCCTTCTTTTCGTTGTATGAAGGCCTGTAATCAAATAGTCTCACTGAACAAATTTGTGTGAAAAAATGTGATCTAATGAACAGATTTAAACCAAATCTTTTTTGTGACAAGAAGTCTAGCTGGGTGCTAGCTAGCTAAGACACTAGTATAAGTAATAGATGAGCTATCGCAGCTGTCCTAATTCTAACGCAATACAGAAATTTGAGGAAGATCTCAAGATGGTGATGGTACGAATTTAAAGAAACGTTTGGATCTTTCTGAACGCTCACGAACTTTATTGAACCATAGTACTATTTAAGTGCCTGCCCTCCCATAGTTGCATCCTTTAAATTTGCAGTAAGCCATATAAAAACAATGTTACTTCCAGTGCACAGCTGATAATAAGTTAATTATTTGCCATATTATTTGCCATAAACACTGAAAATGCCATCCACTCCACTTACCCTGCACGCAGTTTGCTGACAGACTTTTTGGAGACATTCGTCAGGTCCTGATGGAAAGCAGACTTCTGCTCCGATCCCTTTTGTTCCCCTGGCTTTTTCTTTTTCTTACCAATTTTGCCTACAAATTCAGTTAAAGTTCCGCTCATAGTTTATACAGAGGAATATACTCAAACTCATGATAGCAATATTTCAAAACAATGTCAAAAACTGAAGCAAAATGACTTCAAATCATGTAAACTCACCATCACAACTTTCTTGATAGAGTTTTAATGATAAGCAATTTTTTAATTATGATTTATTAATTATTTTACCATTTCTGATTATTAATGCCTACTTTTCTTTGATGACAAATCATCTATGGTAGCTTCTGCAGCGGATATGATTCGCTTTGGTCTCCGGTCTCGTTTCATTATCCGAGCTTGATACTCCATAGTTTTTCTGAGCTGAAGCTCCACCCTTTCTTCTGGCTGCAACAGAGTAACCATATTAGAAAAACTAGAAAGGGCAGTTGTCGCCAACTACATGTATCCCCCGTGTTCTCCCCAAGATGTGTAAGTATACGAAGTTTGGTCGCGCTAGGTAAATTAGGGGCCGAGTTATAGAGCGGAAGGTAAATATGATAAAGGTCAAGGTAAAGGTGAAATAAAGGTCGCAGTGACCTGGTTTTGGTACGCTGCTCACCTTCTCCCCAAGATGTGTAAGTATACCAAGTTTGGTCGCGCTAGGTCAATTAGGGGCCGAGTTATAGAGCGGAAGGGAAATATGATCAAGGTCAAGGTAAAGGTCAAATAAAGGTCGCAGTGACCTGGTTTTGGTACGCTGCTCACCTTCTCCCCAAGATGTGTAAGTAGACCAAGTTTGGTAGCGCTAGGTCAATTAGGGGCCGAGTTAGAGAGCGGAAGGGAAATATGACCAAGGTCAAGGTAAAGGTCAAATAAAGGTTGCAGTGACAGGGTTTTGGTACGTGACACACCTTCTCCCCAAGATGTGTAAGTATACCAAGTTTGGTAGCGCTAGGTCAATTAGGGGCCGAGTTATAGAGCGGAAGGGAAATTGTCTGCGGCGGCGGCTGGGGAAATATGAAACCATATAATCCCCGCCGACTACGTCGCGGGGGATACAATTACATATGTATTTCAGCCTGTATATATGGGTCACTCAAGGAAAACCTGTTCTTTATAGACAGGTGTTGGTTATACTGCTTGGAGAAAAGATAAAATGAAAAGACTTTACTAAAAAGATTAAATTTGTTAAACAAAAACAACACAGTATCATATTATTCAAAATGAAGGACAATGATCAATGTCTTCTTCATTAGTGACAGCAAATAGAAAACAACCCCTTTGACCAACACAGTAACATAAGAACATATTTACTGTCAGCTTCTTTCTCATATTTGCCAATTCTTCCTTCGAAAGCTTCTTTTTCTTTGCTGTCATCTTGTTGTATTCTCCCAACCTTACCCTCTCTGAAATCATTTTGAAAATAAAAATTATAGGTGCAACTATGGATGAAATAAATACCTACTATATTATTTACATGCGACTTTAGCATCCGATCACACTCACAACTAAAATTACGAGCAAACATGAACTGCACTCATGGTTGCTCATTTGAGCGGATCCTAGCATAGTTTGTTTATAGATATCGACGGCAGCTATACCTTGCTCCTCCATTCTCTCTCTGTGTGTCTGGAACCACGTTCTCTTCGGGCGGCCAACCTCCTGCTTCTGGTTTATGAGCTTCTCGGCCTTGTGCACCTGTGCCTCTGTTCCCTTTATCTCCTTCTCCTCCGTCTCCATCCTAAGCACCTGGCCAATGTCACTCTCCACTGCTGCTAACCTTCTCATGTACTTGTTGATCACCTCTGGAAAACAGGGTCGACATGCCGCGATCAAACAGCCTTGCTCACGGCACTAAACCCCATTACACGTGTTAGCGGGTTAGTCCGCGGCATTATGTGAGTGAAACTCACAACATCAAGTTTACCCAGTTGCACGCAACATTAGCCGCAACACAGTTTCATTGATATACACACCAGCGATGTGATATTTAAATATTTTCTCTGGACGTGGTTGCCTCCGGACCTACCTTGTGGCACCACCCTGCTCTTCACAGGAGTCCGTGCGCGTTTAACAATCTCCTTCAACATTTTCCGCTCACTCTCGCCAACCATTGAGACAGCCCTGTAAAAAGCATATTGGAAGAGGGATCAGGAGCTGAAACTCCACTTTCTCGATGCTACAGCAGTTCCATTTTGCAAAAATAGAGAAATTTACTGACTGCATTTCGAAACGTTTTGATCGCACCTGTAATTATTTCATGCACGATGGGATCGTACGAAAATATCATTAGTCGGCTCTAGATACATGTGTTCACCTACCAAATCCACGTCAATTATTTAGAATAATTTCATAAGCTGCCAAACTATGACCACGTGAAACAATCGAGTAATGAACTCGTGCAATCAATCCTGTTGCAGGCAACAAAGACCACACCTTCCACTCTTGCCGGCGCGTGCTGTTCGTCCGACACGGTGTATGTAATGCTGCACAGTGTTGGGCATCGTGAAGTTAATAACCTGCACGAAAATATTCCAGTATGAGTGCAAAGTTTAGAAAATACAACTATGCGCTTGCGAAACATAAAACAGGATGACTTTACATAAAAGCCTTGTCGCAACCTGCCTAAACAACCACGCCCACAACGCAACACAATTCCTTAAAGGCATACTAGGCCCATTGATTATGCAATGTTGACGAATGCTAGAGTAACTGGCACCTTGTGTAGTTAATAAGTACATAACCTTATAGCCAAACGCGTATTAGTTTGTCCAATATCACTGCTGGTTACATTACAAGCAAGACTTAAAATCGGTTGTTGATATATGTATCAACGTATCATTTACGTGCTGTAAATGTCGTCCAGGAGTCAAGCGATGATGTAAACATTTGTGCGGCCCGTATGTTTTGGACGCCAGATGAAATGGAGGTGTCAGCGGTGTAACCACGGCCACGGACTAAACATGGAAATGGAGTAAAACACACGTACTAATCACGGACGGACGTGGACAGCCCTGACAAAAAGTTCCTTATCACGAGCGTCCATGTTTACGAAATCACTGATGATAGCATAATTAGCATTGCGTACGGACGAGCATCCGTGTAAAAACGTGTCCGGTGCACTATAAATCTGTATCACACCCGCTTCGCCGGCAGCAGTTTGAAACTGTAAACAACTGATTTTTGGACTGCGGATTTCAATTAGACATTTCTTAGTAACCAGCAGTGATATTGGACAAACTACTATGCGTTTGGATGCAAGGTTATGCACTTATTAACTACACAAGGTGCTAGTTACTCTAGCATTCGTCAACATTGCATAATCAATGGGCCTAGTATGCCTTTAATTTTCAGCCAGACTACATATATACATATATAATTAATGCGAAATTATCGGGAGTCCGGAGTCAAATACTCCCAGATTTACTGTCGGACTCCCTGATTTGACATATGCAGGGGTCCGTGTGACTCCCTGAAAATTCTGCCATACCATAGTTCGTTCCAGAGCACGGCCTCGTGGAAATACCGTATTTTTTCAGCTAGTATCCAAAGAAAATTTGACAGACGTTGCAACCGCATGATAAGCACATGCGTTAAAGCCGCACAATGCGCATCCAAACGCTAATTTCTCCAGTACTAGACTAGCAAATACTTCGTGTCATGCATAATCACACTACCTTATGACAAAACAAACTCTAGTTCCTCCCATTTCACTGCGCGTTGTCTTATAAAAGGTATTTGAAAATACCTCCAATGTTGTTCAAATTCTCCGATGTTGTTGACACTTTCACGTTGCCCTGCCAAGCAACCACACAGCGGTACAGGTGTAGCAAAGATAAAAACATACACACCGACGCGTATGTACTCACGGTCTTGACGCCGGCGATGTCGAGGCCGCGCGCGGCGAGGTCGGTCGCGACGAGCACGTCGAGCTGCGCCTCCTTGAAGCGCGCGAGCGCGTCGAGCCGCTGCGGCTGCGACATGTTGCCGTGCAGCTCGCCGACGGTGCAGCCGAGCAGGCCGAGAGCGACGTGTAGCCGGTGCGCCTGCTTCTTCGTCTGCACGAACACCATGCAGTGGTCGTGGAACGTCCGGCTCACGAGAGCTGCGAGAGAAAACGCGTGTGGGTGTCAGCGGTTTGCTAAAGTCGGTAGTTTGGAGCCCCGAGATCGACACACAAACACCAGTGACCATTCAAGAGAAAACATGCGCGTCAGCACACAAAAGATGCCATCTTCATCGCTACCCTTCTGGGGCACGTGGCACCACCCTCAGCATTACATCCTAGTGTGCGACCAGTTTCAACGTTTCATCACTGTGGAGAAACTATACATCAATTACACTTTGGGTGTAGAGTGTAGGGCCTGCCATCACACATTTAGAGTGAACTATCATCTTCACTCACCTGCAAGAATAGCTTCCCTGTCGCCCTCTCGATTCGCACGGATCCTGAGAAACTCTTGCCTCAGGCCGAATGCTACATCTCGATTGCTATCCACAAATATCTTCACTGGTTTCTTGAGGGATACTGTAGCCAAGTCTTTCACCTAGACAGTAATCTCTGCATTGTATACAAACTCGCATGCTTGTTAGTGCTAGTCAACGCTCTGATGCTGACAGTACTACATCGCTGCACTACAACAGTTCTACAAAATAAAAAGGGATTTGTGGTCGCTAGAGAAATTCACTTTCCCATGATGTAGAAATGAATATGACCCACTAGCTACCTTACTAATAGACTTACCTGATCTGACATGGTGGCAGAGAAGAGCATAGTCTGTCTCATCACAGCGCACTCCTTAATGATCTCCTTCATCTGCTGAGCAAAATACTCATCCAGCATCCTGAAGCAGCAAACATCATCTTAGAAAACCGATCATATATTTGAATTAATCTGAATGTAAATGTGAATTTACTTGCCACACGTTTAAGTGAGCGCCGAAATGCTAGCATATGCTTCGACTCGTGGTACGAGCACAAACACCAGAGTAAGTCGCCGACGTGAATACACAGCATTTGGGTGACGTGCCACGATTCTAGGATACAGGCAAACAAAATCGGGGCGTTAATTATGCTGCTCATATGATCACCCAGGTTTGATCATGCTACACATAGACCACTGCAGTACCAACATGCACAATTCCATTATTAATGTCAACAATAAGACTTCAATTTCATTACACCCACGCCGCACCTGTCGGCTTCGTCAAGAATGAGAACTTCGATGCTGCTGAGATGAAAGCAAGGTGTGTTCTGCAGGTGGTCGATCAAGCGCCCTGGCGTTGCGATAACGACATCTGGGCCCAATCGGAGCGCGGCCTCCTGAGATCTTACATCCAATCCACCTGTCAAAATTCGCGCGGGAACGTTCGGTATGAATGTCGACTGCATTTCTGACACCGTCTCAGGGTTCTTAAAATGGATAAACCTCACAACTTGCAGTGTGCAAACATAACGAAATGTTTTCATTGAGCCAGAGATGTGCTACAAACATTGGGATTCTCAAAAGCGCGCCCGACGCGGTTACGTTACACAGCTAGTGTAGGGAAGCGCCGGCTGCACAGATTATATGTATAGGTTATATTAGTTCGCAGCACGGCATGTACGGCGCGTCACCATAAATCACAACAGACGCATATTGGTGATCGCGCCGAAATGCACCTGCCTATATTAGTGAACCGGATTTGTTGACGCCAAAAACTCGCAGGTAGAAGGGACTCGGCTCTCATCCTCTAGGCAGCATGGTCCAGCTTTTGCCCGCGCTCCCGTTCTTTCCTTCCTATTCCTTCTATACCCCGCTTTTCCTGGCATTTCTGCTGACAGGCAATATCGGCACTGAACTTTGTGTTGCGGCTACTCCAATCCAAGCTGCAACCATCCCAGTGGCATTGCTGGAAAGGACATTTGTGCGTGTGCTGCTACTGGTACAGCGTAAGCAAAATTTTATTGGCAGCGATCTGCCATAGCGTGTGTGGCAAATTTTACAAGTGATGGGATGCATGTTTCCACGAAGAGTTGGCTTTTAAGAACATTGTTGGATTGTTTTGTGTAAATTTTTGCAATCTGTAATAGAGCACATTTTATCACAATATGTCGTTATTAGATATGCCAGTTATTTATATCAGTTAGCCCACTGACCCATGTTTTTTGAACTTGGCTGTCATGGATTGGTCATTCCCACATATTTCTGTGTCGGTTACATGGATGAGCGAGAATACGTATATATGCAAACAACTCATTTAGGTGACTTGTCCAAACGTCACAATGAACTACATTGATCTCTGTGTTACAGGCAAGACTGCTGCATTATGCTTCCTATACTGGAGAAGGCTACTATTCAAGCCCAAGCAGGCTCCTGTCACTAAGAGTACTGGTGATGACTCCCACCGAGAGCTTGCTGTGCAAATATTCCAGGTGTCAAGGCAGTTGCGCACAGTACACCAAACGTTACTATTTGCCCTGGCGGCCGTACGTCAACCAATTAAAATCCTCAATTGATCCGACAATTTTCGTATGCAGCTTGCAGAATGGCACTAGTGTACATGCATTTATCCATTCCTCAATCTGTGTGTCCATCAATGGTAACAGACTGTAGATGTCTATGTAGCTTTGCCTACTACAGTAACAATAGCAGGCAGCAGCAGCAGTAGCCACAAAGTTCCCTTCTCCGCTTAACACTACGTTTGGCGTGAGGTGACAAGCCGACGGCAATAGAATATTGTTCGCATGACATGCGCTACTATTAAACTTAAAAATTAACTTTTTATGATTGTTACCGCTGTCTCTGTACTTCCACGGCCTCGATTTATTATATGTGCGCTATCACTGAGGCATCGTATTTACGTGTCAGCGAGTAATTATTTATAAATTGATAAAGATAAAACTTAAAAAAACGCTGCATTTTCCATAGATATCCCATCATACGTAGCGAAAAAATACAAGTACAACCCATAGAAAAAGAGACATAAGAACATCCAGTATGGCATTTTACAACGTTCAAAATAGTATAGCTGTTCGAAATTCTCTTATTTTAATGTGTATTTTGAGGTAATAGTTAATTAAGAAGTGATGCTGATAGTTGCAAATCATTCAACAGGTGAGGTCTAATTGGTAATACATTGTTTTAATTTACGCAGAATTTTACGAAATTTCGGAGTTTGTTTTCAAGCTACGCAGCATTTCGTATGGAAGGGTGTCAGGCTCCACGACGTGTAACAGTCGGAGAGTCTGGTCGTTTACAGCAGCAGTAGCAGTAACAGTGAGATAAGCTGCTGCTGCTCTAACAGAACTCGGATGAAATTGCCAATAGTACAGCAACTGTTCACATAGTTGCTTGTTGCGAAGGAGATCGCAACCGACTTAAAGTTGCAAAACCTCGCAGCTAATGCATATATATACCTACTCTGAGCTTGCATTTGTTGCAAAAAATTCACTACAACTCATTTGTATTGGCTACTTTCAAAATATTTCTCTCAAAATCTAACGAAATTCTTCTCTTACGAAATAGCACCACAGTGATGTTTGCACATCCGGGACACAGCGTAGTGATCGGCTCGATTCATTAACAGTTCCTTGCTATGATAAACAAGTTATAATTCATTATTCGATGTTTGTTCAGTATCAAAATTGAAATTGTTTTT